AATTGAATCCATTTCTAACACTTTTTCCGCCACAAGTATTCAAGGTAAATGGTATTATGCGTATACTAATCGTTCGGACATTCTTATATTGACAAACATAGATAACAGCATATAAATTGTGTCAACAGTTGAATGATTTTGATAACTGGCATCAAATCATATTGCAAATTAAACAATATATTATTGCATATCATACAGTATATTCTTCAAAAAATACTCGTCATAATGACAATAAGAATGAAAAATATTTGAAACAGGTCGTTATCTTTTCTAAGGTATGACTGATTGTAAGAGAAACTACCTGTTTTCCATGGGAAACAAAAACTATAAATGAACTCGCTTCTGGAGAAATAAAAGGTCACTTTTTGTGTAATCGACGATACTTATATACTTGGACGATTGCTCTACAATAATTATATAATATATCTAAATTATCTTAAAACATACTCCAGCGCAACAATCTGGCCATCATGGAACAAGACAATCATGAACACATTTTGAACATTATCAACTCAATAACCGTAATAATGGAGTGTGTCAGAGCTGAAACTATATATGAAGCGAAGGTGCATACTGAGGAGGTTCGCAATCAACTGGCTGTGTTATCAGGCAATTTAACCAATGTTCATACTCAACCATTATAATAAGCATAATACCATTAACGTTTCTTTTTGATTGTTGGAACTGAATAATTGTGATTGTCTGTTCATGATAAACTTTTGATATTTTGGTGTCTTCTGACAGCGATACATTGAAAATATAGCGCTTTTAATAATAATTATTAATCTTAGATTAATCTCATCCGTTGACGTCTTATTAAGCTGTTGTAAGGAGCATGACTTGAAGTACACGAATAGATGCGTAGATACCATGTATGTCGCTTATTAGTAAGGAACAATGATTTTCGAGTTGCCCCTAGTCGGAGGTATGTACCAGCTTCGCCGCTAAAGGGAGAAATTCAGATTATTTCATCTATTTAGTGACAACAAAGTCTGATCCAATATTTTGTCTGAAAAAAGAAAACCGTTGCGGAAAAACCTGGAAAAACAGTGTTGCATTTTTGATGAACAAATAAATGCCAAAATAAAAATAGAAAAACCGGAACAATCTACAATAAAACAAATAGATTGTTTCTTACTACGAATGGGTACACTAATTGTTCGACTTAAACAAGCAGATAAAGGTGAAATAAGAAAAGTATCAACAATGATAAATGAGAATGATCCAGAAAATGATGACGGTGTTCAAATACCAATACCATTGTTAGTACCGTCCGCATATTGTTAAACACATCATATTTAACCGATACAATTTCGTAAACCATTTACTCTTTCTTCGAACATTTCTTCATCGTTTGGTCGTGATGATGCTGTATTATACATTAATTTATTAAATAATGAAACATTTCGTTCGAGTTCATTAATGTATTTTATTACCTCATTTAGTTTATTCTGAACATTATCATTAAATTGTTATTACCTGGTTGTTGTTCGAGAATAACTTCATTTAAAATAAACGAAAACCATTCTTCTGGTTCTAAAGCAGCATCAGAAAACAACCTATTTGTGTTATTGTACATTGTTGGGGATTTTCTATTTTTATTTTGGCATTTATTTATTCACCAAAAATGCAACACTGTTTTTCCATCGAACATTTCAGAACGTATGCTCTTCTTTTTGGACCGCTAGAATAGGGTTATGACTGATGCTGAATTCAATAAAAGTGGTCTCGTAGTATGTCATGGCCATCCACAAGATATCTTGAAAATGCCTTGTTCTCGACTTTTCACTTCATCGTTTTTCGATTTTCTTTCTGTTGTCAAACTGCTCTAATCTTTGAATTTGATAAAAAAAATTTTTAAACAGCAAAAATACATCTAGAAACACTACACTGTAAAGTCGGGAATTATTTATAGAAAATGCTCGGCGATTTTCAAAAAGTCCATATATGAAATCCTCACGGATTTTCTAGATTATAGAAAATCGAATTTCCAATAATGTAGAAAATCGACATCGATTTTCTACATTCTTGGGAATTATTTATAGAAAATCCTCAGCGAATTTTCGTTTGGAAAATCCTCAGGGATTTTATATATGGACTTTTCGAAAATCAAAAAGTCGGATTATTTTCTACTTTCTAGAAAATCGCTGAGAATTTTCTAGATGAGGAAGAACAATTTGAGTGAGGATGCTAATAATCAGTGACTTGCAAAGTGAAAATGGCTGATGATAAACTTTTTCAACGTTATTAAAAGCTATTGAACTTCGAAGTTGAGTGGGGTGTATTATTTCAGCTTATTGGATGACAATATGGATCTTTTAATAATGAAAACCAAATTCGACATTGATCACGTGTTGAAAGGCTGTTATTTTATTTAAAAAATAAATAAATGTGAATTGATAGGATCATCTCTTTGAGTTAATAGAACCAACTACATTTTTGGAAGATGCTAAATTCAGACATAAAAATGAGGAATATTAGCAAGAGCGAATCGCTTTGCGATCTTCAGAAAGTTGCGGTGGAACTCGACTTTGTCTTAATCAGACCTAACCCCAAGAACCTTTTCAGTGCCTCTTTGTGATCTCTAAGTGTCATACAACAATAATGCTTCTCGAAGAATATGCTGATTTGCAAGAAAACTGAGAGAACTTTCCCAATCTACTAACATTTTCGATGTTAAATACTAAACGGAACAGAGATCTGTTACAGGATAACTTGTTGCAATGAAGACTTTGATAGATGTGAAAGAAGCAAGAAAAAATGGCCGATTCGTCTTAGAAAATCGAATTCGATTTTCCAACTATTTAGAAAATCGCTGTCGAATTTCAAGAATGTTGGGAATTATTTATAGAAAATCGATTTTGATTTTCTAGAATCTGGAAAATCGAGTCGATTTTCTACAATGTTGGAAATTATTTATAGAAAATCAATCGATTTTCTAAAAGGTAGAAAATCGCTGTCGATTTTCCAACTTTTTAGAAATTCCTTATCGATTTTCTGGCAAATGAGAAAAGTCAATTCATAGAAAATCGACTCGATTTTCTATAAAGCAGAAAATCAACATTTTCTAAACAGTCAGAAAATCGCTGAGGATTTTATAAAAGTTGGAAAATCCTTGGCCATTTTCCAGATCGATTTTCTATAAAGTAGAAAATAATTCCAAATTACAGTGTACTGCTCTTTGAAAACTGATATAGCAAGCACAGGAAACTCTTATAAAAATATACTATTTAGTCATCAATATTTGGGTTCGTTATCTTTCTGTGGCTTATTATTTCATCTTTGGAGAGTCCACTAAAAAACATTTTCAATACCTCACGATAGTCCTTTCCTTCACAAGCCGGAAATGGCGAAATACTTTCAAATGTATTTGTTTCTCTTCAAAATTCATCGTCGCTTCTGGCATCAAAGCTACTAAACGTTGAAAAGACTGGTCTGTATTCTTACGAACGTATTGTTTTGTGTGACACCAAAGACCCTCTATCGGATTTGTTTCACAATGATACTTCGGTGTAAAAACAACCTTAACACCGTACTTTGTTACTAACTTTTCCAATCTAAAAGTGAATTAACTCGAGGAAAATCACTTGAAGGATTTTGGCACGTTCATGTTGTAGCTGCTGTATCTCCAATAGAAAATTTCTTTTTAAAAAACCGGAGCCGATTTTCTGAAGCGCGCGTTGCGACGAATGAATCAAGGCGCTGTCGCTTAAAGCAAAACCTAGATAGATTTGCAAAATGGGAGGTCTAAGAAATGAGTATTCATCTGGAAAAATGTCCCCACCTTCTGCATCATTTTTAACGAGCTCTAACTCCGCTCTTTATATCCATCGCGAGTTGAGGATTCTCAATGTCACCTCGGCGATCTTGAAAAGTGAAGCGGGAGGGAACTAGTCGCATTTTTCACTGACACCGTCATTTTGGCATTTTTCAGGTATTCTCAGTATTTTGCATTTTTCTCCCCCCAAATTCGGTCGAAACACAAAACAAAGGTCAGATTCGTGATCCTCGTAGTCCGGAAAAAGTGTTAGAAATGGATTCAATTCTCGAATCCATGCATTCAAATCTCGATGTGGTTTTTTCTGGGTTAGAGTTTGATATGTCACTTGACTAGTTTATTTTTCTGTTTTCACATCATTCATCTCTTGTTTCGTTTCATTTTGATTGTTCGTCTTAGTTCTTCGTCATATGTGAGGTCATATGACTGTAGGGTCAGCTCGAAAATC